ATTCAAGTTGTAGATGTCTACATTTCTCTTAATACTTTACATGGAATGCTTGCGTGGTAATACATTGCAAATCAAAGGAATTATCAAGAAGTAGGCTGTAACTTTTTCTTATGGACACTAGTTACAAATGGGTCAAGTTGTTAGGACTAAAAACATAGTTTATCAAGGATATTTCGAGTAATATTTGCTTCGATAATAAGTTGTTGATTACTAGGAAGTATGAGCAGATAACTTGGGCACACGTTTACATTAGAATTCTGGATATTACCTAGCAATATATTTGGAATAATTTTGGGCATGCATTAGTTCAAGACTCTTAGTGAAATTCATTGGAATTGTGCAACTTTGATAATTCGTTTTAATCATCAAAGTCACGAGGTGTCACTGTAAGGAAACCAATCTGAGACAGACAATTCAAGAATTAAATGAAAAGCTAAAAGTGCCACGGGGAATGTGTGTTTTATGGTCGGCACGGGGATCAATTTTATACCGATAATCTGGCATCCTTAACAACAAACCAACAAGAGGATCTTTCAGGTGATTCTAAAGGAATTTCGGATGTTTGGAACCAACATAACTGTCTTCCCTCAATGAAGGCAAATTTCGTGACGAATACGATGCTTTTTTATGCCCATGATAATAGTGATGTATGAAATATGTATGGATATGGTTATTGACCGGGAAGTTCTGGATTGCTGTCATCACTAGTTCTGTTTTGTATGCATGTGTTCCAGTATATGATACCACTGGAAACAACAAAGTTGAATAAAATTCATTCCTCAGAGATGATGATGACTGATCCATTTGAAGGGAAGAATAACACGCTATCATTTTCCTTCATACTACATTGAAAATGTAGTTATTTGCTTGGATGGTGATAACTGCAGGGTTCATAATAGGAAAAACAGTTGTTGGTGTCTTAATGATTGATAAAACAAAATTTGTTTCAGCAAAAAGTGAAGCCTATGGCCTTTTAAAGTTGGTAGGGATCAAATGACTGAGTCATGAATTTTGATATCTGACACAAATAATCAGGGAAGTATGGATAAAAAGGGTCCCTTCTTACCTTATCTCTTATATCTTATTGCTTTTTTATGCTTATTTTTCTGGGTCTGTAATATTACTGGTTATATACCAGGCACATTTGCTTTAACTTTGACTGATATAATATAGGTTTTAATTTGGATAAAACTAACATAGATAGAAATGTCATAGTTTTCAAATCTGAATGTTTTAATCAATAAAAACATCTTTTAAATCGATTAAATAAATTTATATAACATTTTTCATTAATGTTTTAATCGATTAAAAGTCGAAATAATCGATTAATTGCACTAAAGTTTCATGTTTTCAAATTCTTAAATGTTTTAATCGATTAAACCTTTCTTTCAATCGATTAAAATCATTACCAAAAACATTTTAATCGATTCTGTCCTGTTTTTAATCGATTCTTATTCTGGAAAGAAAAATTAAAGGCTTTAGTTAATGGTTGTTCCTGTAACATGCTACTAAAGCGTGATTCCCTTATCTTTACACGTGTTAATTGTATTCATTACAAACGTGTTAATGAAGATAAGTTTGAATCAACTTTGATTGATCTTTACATGAGTAAAGTATTGATTTCCTTTTATTTTCAAAAACTCAAACTGATAAATACCTTTGCATTTCATTATTTCTCTTTTGTTCCCTATTTTTGATGAAGTCAAAAGGGGGAGAAATAGTTGCTTAGGATCAATTTAAACAACTCTTAATTTACGGGGAGCAACATTTTAGAGAGGAGAAATAGGTTTTAGGGGGAGAAATAGGACATTAATACATTTTTTAATTTCTCACTAATCTGTATTTTCAAGTGACTTTTCTTGCAGAGTTTTTTTTTTCAAAATGGTGTTTGTCTTCATCAAATAGGGGGAGACTGAAAGTGATGAAGATCTTATTGAAATAATTTGGCAAAGATCTCATTGATTTGATGAAGTCAAAGATAAAGTCAAAAGTCATCTTTGCAGCGGTCAACAAGTCACTTAGATAAAAGAGTAGAAGGATTAGTGTGCCTACGGAATGCTTAGGTAAAATCATTTTATCTTTTCTGCTGCATGAAGGTTCTTCACTTAAAGATTTTGCGAAATGCCTCTAAAATCGTTTTAAACAACTAAAAACAAAGTATTTTTACAAAAGCTTTCTTAAACATGTTTTTAAGCTGATATAGTTTTGAAAGAACCGATTAAAATCACTTAGAATGTTCAAAGAAGTGTTTTTACGGTATTTTAATCGATACAACTTGATTTTAATCGATTAAAACCATTTAGAACTCATTATGATCGATCAGAATACAAATATGACCGATCAGAATCAGATGTGATCGATCAGATTTGAACTATGAGCGATCAGAATTTTTTCAATCGATTAAAACACGTTTCAATCGATTAAAATCACTTAAAGGGTCAGAATGATCGATCAGAATGAAGTTATGACCGATCAGAGTTGGTTATGATCGATCAGAATTGAATTATGACCGATCAGATCTGTTTCAATCGATTAAAATGTATTTCAACCGATTAAAACAACTTGGAAAAATTTTGTATAGAGTTTTAATCGATTAAAACCTATGGTTTATCAGTTAAAATAACTTGAAAAGTTTTATAAGAAAGTTTGCAGTATTTCAATCGATTAAAACGTGAAAGAATCGATTGAATTAACTTAGAAGATTTTTTGTAAAGTGCTTTAACTGATATAAACGTTGTTGTATCAGCTAAAACAAATTTGTTAAAGAATCAAGAACGTATTAATGGATTGAAAGGACTTTTAACAGATTGAAACGACTATTTCAACAGATTAAAACAAACTTTTAACAGATTAATTAATGCAGCAGATTTGAAAATACTCTTTAAAAACAGTTTGGCTTGAACTTTTTAAACATACATTGAACATCAGTTTTTACACATCCTTAAGCAATCACTCAAGCAACTTTAGCACACTTTTTCAAGAAAGATTCGTGGCTGTTTTTGAGAAGTTCTTTTCAAATCTTTCTTGAGGCATATTGCTTTTCTTTGAAGAAGAAACTCACTGCAGATTTGGATAAACTGGTTTGAGCTTTCTAGTTTCTTCTTTGTCAATTCTTTTTCATTCGTTTGTATTGTTTGGTGCCTGGAATTTGGGCACTGGTTTCTCTGCAGCTGGAATTTGGTTGTAGAGGTTGTCAAGAACTGGAATTTGGTTCTTGGTGAAAGGTTAGGTGTTGGTGCCTGGAATTTGGGCATTGGTTTCTCTGCAGCTAGAATTCGGTTGTAGAGGTTATCAAGAACTGGAATTTGGTTCTTGGTGAGAGGTTGAGTGCAGGAACTGGAATTTGGCTGGAGACTGGACGTAGCCCTGGTATTGGGTGAACCAGTATAAAATACCGGTGATATCTTCCTTAACCTTTCTCTCATTTAAATTCTGTTGCTGCATTATTTTGATTGATTGCTTTGTAATTCAAGAACAGATCTTTAAACTTAATTTTCGAATTAGATAATCTGTTATTTGCGAAAAACTTTCAAAGATCAATTCACCCCCCCTCTTGATCTAAAACTACTTTTCTAACATTTGGGAATTAGGATTTTCGAAACTAGGGTTCTTGGAAATAGGGTTTTCGAAAATAGGTTTGATTTGAAGTTAAAAATCAAAATCTGACTGAAATAATCGATTAAATGAAGTGTTAATCGATTATTACAGAGCCAAAATCAACAGAACCCCAAAACTCTCTGTTTTAATTGATTAAAAGACCTGTTAATCGATTAACAGGCCTGTTAATCGATTAACAGGGGTGCTAATCGATTAAACCAGTGAGCAGATACAGAAAATGGTTTTTCTCACTGTTTTAATCGATTATTTCACCAATTAATCGATTAAAGTCGAGCCACTTTGATAAATTTGAGCTTTTTGAAGCTTCTAAGGTGCAGACTATGTACCGGTTATCTCAAACTCTAATATTACAAACTCAATCTAATCAAAACAGAGTTATTACACTATAAAACAAGTCTTCAACTCTCTAAGTCTTGTGTTCTTGAATCATCATCAAAATCAACAAGCTTCATGTCCATCAAGTTCAACATCAAGTCCTTCAATGTTCAAAAAAACTGAACTTATTGTTTCCAAATGAACACAAATAACCTAATTTGTCCAAATAAGAAACTGAAACCAAATTTCTTCTAAATGACGGCACAACAAAAGTGTCTTTCAAATCCAAATAAAAACCAGTACTCAATAACAATTTAAAATGCCCTATAGCTTCCACCTCTACCGATTTGTCATCTCCAACATATATCCATCTTTCATAATCAATTGGCTTTCGGTAGCTTAGGCAACCCTTCATAGAAACACTGATGTTAGTAGTTGCACCTGAATCTAACCACCAAGTTTTACTAGGTACCGACGCTAAATTGACTTCAGAACAGACCAAAGTAGGAAACATACTTTTGAGGATCGGAATAGAATTTTAATTGGCAGATACAGAAATAATTGTAGCTGAATTAAGAACAAGAGAAATAAATTAATTATGCTTACATTATAAATAATTATAAATAAAATATATATTTAAATAATGGTTTAACCCATCTCAAGACACCTAATGCATCATCAATATCAAGTCTTTGGACAGTAATATTAATTGCTAGAGGTATCTTGTTGTAATAATCAAACATTAACAATAAAGCATGTCCAACAACAAACCAGTCTTTGGATTGATTTATCATCGACAAAGCAAATCCTTATAATTATCACATGTTTATCATTACAGGTGTGTACGCAATTCAGCCAAATATTAATCTTCCTTTGGGCCGACTAATACTCGCATGAATATACACAAACACTACCATTCAATATTTTTCACAAACTACTCAATCCAAGAGAGGTTACTTTGGTGACATCTTGACTCAATTTGCTCACAAAAAATATTAAACTACCAAAAAATTGAATATTTTATTTGTATATCAGCCGCATCCACCGGCGTGAACCACCACTGATAGAAGACGCTCCAAGAAGGTATGGACATCAGGGGTCTTCATGTTTTCCATTGTGCCATACTCAACTACTGCAACCACACCTTTCTCCTTCGCGCTAGCTCAATCTCCCGAGTTCGGATCCAAATCTGAACTTGACCCAGTTCCACCTCTAACCCCGCTCTTCGGCATCAAGGAACAACCTAACTACCCCTTCTGCGGCGATGTTTTTACTCCACCAAAACCATAAAATCAATTACACAAATATCATCTATTATTGACCACTTCTCATAATAGAGAATTAGAATTCACTGAGGTTAACCCTTCGTTCAATAGCTTCAAGGTTTTCTTTTCTCACGATCGAACACGAGATCCATGAAACTATTCCTCACTGTTGCTAAAAAAAATTCATGATCCAAACAATTCAAGGCCTCTTAAGTAAGGCCATATGGCTTTATGTTTAGGTCCTGCCGCCAGGAGTCCCTAGTGGGCCCGCGGGTTGGTGAGAGAGCCATTGGAGGAGGTGGAGCCATGCGTGGTCGAGCTCATGTTACTCATCACTCGTGTTCCTCAATTGATATTGCTAGTGCTTAATTATCTCCATCATTGGCAATCGAATTGCCAAAATGCATTCCAAATCCAAAATTAGGTTTTAAAATTGGGAATTTAACCCCCAAATTTGATTTTAGGTTTACAAAAATTGGAGATTATTCTCCACTTAGGGTTTTGAATTAAATAGAATCTAAATTTTGATAAATGTAATTTCCAAAGACAAACATGAATCAAGTATGGATTGCTCTGATACCAATTGTTGTAAAATTAATAATAACTATAATCCTGATTTTGATTTTAATGATCAAACATAAATATAATCCCATACTGAGAAACATGTTGTAAACTGAATGCAAAAGCGTACCTGAATTAGTCATAATGATGATGTATGTCTTTATAGAGCACTGTATTGATCTTATAGTCTTCCACCTGAAGAGCACCTGTATTTCCCTCTTGATTTTCTCTCTTGATGGGGATAAAAACAAAGGAACGGGAGTATAACTTATGTTCTGTGTGTGTGCTCCTAGAAGGGGACCATGACCCCTTAAATAACCAAAATTAGGTTAATTACTTAAGTTTTAGTATTTCCAATTTGGCCCCTCATCAAATTAGAAATTATTCTATGATTTCTACACAATTTTATTTTCATGACATATGCCTTTAGCCAAAACTTTAATTTAGTTAGATCACTTTTTTATTTGGCTTAATAAATAATTACCCTAACACATTTAAATATGTATCATATATATACATGACCCAAATTTTTCCAATAATAACATATGTGCAATAGTAAAAATTAAAAGTATTGTCCTAGAATGAAAATATGTTATATATTGAAATAAGAATCAAGCAAATAACATAATAGAAGAATATATAATATCAAGATTTTTTTTAAATGAAAAAATTCAAGTATATCAAGATTTGTCCACCATACTTAGAAGAAAAAATATTCCAACAATCATGTATACGTTAAAAAGAAAATATGCAATATGATACAAAGATTACAAGGAAAGAATTTGAATTAGACAGACTTGCAAAAAGAGAGACCTTATGCAAAGAATAATACTAAAAGACTACCAAGAATATCATATTATTGAATAAATTTTTATAGAAAATAATAAAGGCTAAGGTTTCAACCATCACATCTTGAAGCCAATAAAAGAATTACCTCAATGAATAAAGAGAACACACAACATAACAACAACTATAACACAATCTTATTAGTTTCTTGTTTTATCTTCTTAGTGAGTGTTTCCTTTTAGAAGGTATAATAAGAGAAAATAGTCATTGTTATATCTTTCACCCTATGAAACAAATTGTAGTTATAAGTGTTCATTGTTTATTTTCTCTATGAGAGTCATTTTAGTGAATGTAATACTTTTACAATTAATGTTATAGCAGGCAATAATGACAAATAATACTTGTATTCTTAATTTCAAGAGGAGATTAGGATTGATTCATTTATTGTTAGGAGTGACTTGGTGTAGTCTTTTATAATGAAGAATGGCTTGGTGTACTTATTTATAGCCAAGAGTGATTTAATGTATTTGCTGTAACATTGTTGATTAAAGTGAAACCCTTTAAGTGTTTTGAAAGGAGGTTGGACTTAGCTTTTGGTTGAGGTGAACCAATATATGCATATCATCTTATCTACTCCTAACTTATTTGTTTGCATATTTTATTCATTGTTTAATTATTTTCAAAAGGAAGTTTTAAATTATTAGAAAATTATTGTTAAAAACATTTTAAGAACTCTATTCAAACCCTCCTTTCTTAATCTAACATATGTTTTAAGTTGGTATCAAAACTAATCTCTTGGGGCTAGTTATTTACATTACATGAGAAGAAGATTCTATTGCGTAATGAAAAATGAAAGATATGTTATCAACAAACCACCTCTCTCTAAAGGTGAGAAATTTGACTACAAGAAGCAATGAATGATAGTATTCTTTAAATCTTGTCATATATTAATGTGAGACTTGGTTAAGAATGGAAACTACATTTCGCACGATGAGTTTGGAAATCCTCTACAAATGAAGCTTTGAAATGAAGAACAAAATGAAAGATATTTGTTGAATTCAAAGGCCAAAAACATTTTCATGTGTGAACTATTCGAAGAAGAATACAAAAAAGTTCATTCATGCAAAAGAGCAAATGAAATGTGGGAGTTCTTATGGTAACATCAAAGGGTACACAGAGGTAAAATATAACAAGTTATACATACTAGTTAATATGAATTGTTTAGCGTGAATGAAATTGAAAGCATACAAGAAAAAATCATTAAATATTATCAAATGAGCTTTAGGTAGAAACTATTATGATTTATATAATCATATTGACAAAATCTTTACAAAATTTCCTAGAGAATAGTGTTCGCATGTAATAGTGCTTAAATTGTCTAAGAATTTGGATAGCCTATTATTCAAAGATCTTATTAGTATACTAAAGGTTCAGGAACAAGAGCTACTACAAGATGTACTCATCAAAAAAGAGAAGTCACTAACTCTCAAATCAAAATTCACTAGATAATACTCCTACTAATGTCACAGATATGTCAAAGAAATCATCATTTGAAAAATAATCTAATGAAGATGATAATAATAAACTTTAATTCATCACAAGACGCCTACAAAACATCTAAAAAAAATAAAGAATAGGAGATTTAGAAAAAAAAAACATTCATCTCAAAAAGAGAAATACAAGAGAAATGACGACACTCAAATAGAAGGAAAACAATTTAGGGTTAGGTTTTAAGAGTTGATTTGATTAGAAATAGAGAACAGAAAAACATAAAAGATACCGTAGGCACCACAAATAAGAATATTTGATAAGCCAAGAAGGATCGCCACAAGAATCGAATAATTCTTGATAAGATCAAGTGATGCAAGGAAGAACCATAGCAGAGCAACAACTCACAAACTAATCTGAATATTACGTACATTCATTCTGAATTCCCAAATGTTTAATACAACTTAAGTTTATGAGTTTGTCTCATTGCAGGAAATAAAGATAAATTAAAATCCTAATATCCCAAGCAAAGTTAAGTTACCTAGATGGTTCAGTGAAGGCATTATAAGTTTTGGGTCTTGGGTTCAAATCCCCACTATAGCAAATAAAATAATAATAATAATAAAAACTAAATTTTTTAGTTGGGCCTCCTAGCTCTCCAAACATTCTATGCATGTGATAGGTCTAGACTCCTCCATGTTTGGATCTTTTAATAGTTGGGCCTTTAGCAAATTGGTCACTTTGTATTGCAATGCCTCTTGTGTTTTTATGAGTCTACCTCTTGTCATAGGTCCACCTAAGTCTTGGATTGGATCTTGGTCTTGATCCTTCTCATTATGGGCTTAGGCCTTTATGTCCACATCATTCCCTCCTTCTTGGGCAGCATTTGTCCTCAAATCTATGAATTCATCTCCTGCATCAAAAGGAGTCAAGTCAGCAACATTAAAAGAAGAACTTACATTATACTCTCCTGGTAGATCAATCTTATAAGCATTATCATTGATCTTCTCTAAGACTTGGAATGACCCATCTCCTCTAGGTTGAAGTTTAGACTTTCTTTGTTCAGGAAACCTTTCCTTTCTCATGTGTACCCAAACCCAATCACCAAGTTGGAACACCACCTTTTTCCTACCCTTGTTAGCTTGCCTCGCGTAGCTCTCATTCTTCTTTTCAATTTGAGCTTTTACTTGCTCATGCAACTTCTTCACATATTCTGCTTTAGCCTGTGCTTCCTTATGCTTAAACATAGAAATGTTAGGCAAAGGCAACAAATCAAGAGGAGTCAAAGGATTAAATCCATACACAATCTCAAATGGTGAACAATTAGTGGTGCTATGGATAACCCTATTATAAGCAAACTCAACATGCGGTAAACATGCTTCCCAAGTCTTAAGATTTTTCTTTAAAATAGTCCTAAGCAATGTGCCTAAAGTCTTGTTGACTACCTCAGTTTGACCATCAGTTTGTGGGTGACAAGTAGTAGAAAATAATAATTTAGTACCAATCTTACCCCACAAGGTCCTCCAAAAGTGACTAAGGAATTTTGAATCCCTATCACTCACAATGCTCCTCGGCAGCCCATGTAGCCTTACTACTTCCTTGAAAAACAAATCAGTCACATGACAAGCATCATCTACCTTCTTACAAGGTATGAAATGTGCCATCTTAGAAAACCTATTAACAACAACAAACACAGAATCCTTTCCATTCTTTGTTTTAGGCAGCCCTAAAATAAAGTCCATAGATATGTCAGTCCAAGGATATTCAGGAACAGGTAAAGGAGTATACAACCCATGAGGCTTAACCTTAGATTTAGATTTTTTACACACAATGCAGTGATCACAAAACTTATTCACATCACGTTTCATATGAGGCCAAAAGAAATGTTCTTGCAAAATTTCTAAAGTCTTTTGAACCCCAAAATGACCCATCAAACCCCCTTCATGTGATTCACTCACAAGCAACTCTCTAATGGAACACTTAGGCACACACAATTTATTTGCTTTAAACAAGAATTCATTATGCCTAAAGTAACCATTTTTAGAAAACTTTTCACATGAAGCAAATGTTTCAGCAAAATCCACATCATTCACATACATGTCTTTCAAAGATTCAAGACCAAACAATTTAGTTTCAAAATAGAAAGTAATGCATGTCTCCTAGAAA